AATAATAATAATAATAATAATAATAATAATAATAAAAATATTAAATGGCATAAGTCAATTATATATAAAAGAAATATTAATTGAAAATTGTATTTAAAAAAGGCAAGCTATTAGCAATGATGACTATTCACAAACTTAAACGTATGACATTTGACAGAATATCGATTTAAATGATCAAAATTTTCGAGGAAAAATTGAAACACCACTATCAAACTGAAAGGGAATGGGACATTAAAGGGATGGAGTTTTTCATAAGACAATTTTTAAGAAACTCGAGTGCAAATTGCAACAGAAATAAAACGTGAACAGTGAACAGGAGCATTAAAAATTCCATTTACCCACGGTTTGGTCCCTTAGGAACGAAAAGTGGTAGAGCTACTCCAAGAAATACCACGGCACCCCAGATGAGCGTGAAGGCTGCTACAGGTATCGCGGATGCACCCATTGTTTTTTTTTGTTTTCTGATTATGTTCTTTGAAAAGTTCGCGAATGAATGGAGAGCCAACGACAGTACGAGCTGTTTATCGTACAGCTATCAAAAACTGGAAGGATCACATGAGAGAATCTTCGTACTGTTCACGTGACACATTGATCTGACAAAGAGTCTGCGAGGAAGCTAGGTATGGTGCGTTCAGTATCAAAGGTAAGTCTGTTCGTTACAGCTGTATTCTCCGCAACTTTTAGATTTTTTTTTAACTTCCTTCCTTCCTTCAATCATATATCCATTTCATTATAATGTAAAGAGAGAAGATGTACGATGTAAATACAAAAAAAAGAAAATAAATTTTTGACGCTGATGAAAATGAATGTTGTGCGTCAACATAAAAAGATACCTAATGGAGGTCCACACTGCGATATACGACAATTCGATATTCACTAGGAAATTTTATTTTTTCGAGTTGCTAAATATCAATACTTCTATCTCGAGAAAATATTCTCCTTTTGAATATTAAACATTATACGTCGAATGCTGAACGTAATGCGAATTCTTCATAAGGCTAATGCTTCATGTGTCGTACGACAAAGCGTTGATTGGATATACAATAGAGAATTTCTGAAGATTTAAAATCTTCACTACATCCTATAACCAATCTACGCTTTCAAAAACTTTTGTCATAGGGAGAAATGTCAGCCAAACTTCCGGACTGAGAAACAACCAATGATCTAAAGTGCGCTGACAGCGTTCTGTGCGTTACTGTGCGTTGCTCCGATCTATGATGCACTGAGAGACGTAATGAGGAAAACCAAGAGGACTGTTGTTTATCATATTGCGAAATCCGTAAAGGCGAACAAGGCTCTTTCAAGTTCCTCAATGTTTCGTAATTTTGCAGCAAATTGAATAAGGCATGCTAATCGAGCGCGGTACGTTTTCAAATGTGCCTTTAGTTATTTCGAAATGAGACAAGACATGTAATTACACACACATACATTGTGTGTTTTGATGTGACAGTTAGTGATAAATAGACAGTCAGTCATAAGTTGAATGTACTGCCGTGCGCGATACTTGCTCTAGGGTGGAACAATTGATAAGTCAGATATCGCGAGGCCAGCTGGTGTATATTGTAAAAGTGCCAAGTTTATTGAATATTATTCAGTCAAGATGAAGAAAAAGGTAGAGAGAGATAAACATTTTTACATTATTTAAATATAATATAGAATTGTATATTTTTATTTCACATAAACTTTTTTTCGTTTATGGAAAATATTTCTTTGTCTTGTGCCAAGTAATTTTGTCAATATTGTGTATTATTTAGGTATTACTGATGGGTAAGAGTGGGTCTGGGAAAACAAGTATGCGCAGCATTATTTTCGCCAATTATATAGCGCGTGATACACATCGTCTAGGAGCAACGAGTAAGCTATTTGTGTATATATTATACTAAATAGTTACAGAGAACTAATTTAGTCTAATTTATTACAGTTGACGTAGAACATTCCCATGTTCGTTTTCTTGGCAATTTAGTTTTGAATTTATGGGATTGCGGAGGACAAGAGGCATTCATGGAGAATTATTTCGCGTCACAGCGTGATAATATATTTAGAAATGTAGAAGTGTTAATTTATGTCTTTGATGTAGAATCAAGAGAATTAGATAAAGACATGCATTATTATCAAAGTTGTTTAGAGGCGATACTGCAGAATAGCCCAGAAGCAAAAATTTTTTGCTTAGTTCATAAGATGGATCTTGTGCAAGAGGATCAACGTGATTACATATTCAGAGAAAGAGAAGAAGATCTGAAAAGGCTAAGTTTACCTTTAGAATGCACATGCTTCAGAACTAGCATATGGGATGAAACGTTATATAGGTATATATTAAACATGGTGTGTATATATATATAGGTATATATTAAAACACAGGAATATTAAAGAGTCTTTATTATTATAGAGCATGGTCATCCATTGTATACATGTTGATACCCAACGTTAAGGAATTGGAACAAAGTTTGAACCAATTTGCCAATATTATTGATGCAGATGAAGTTCTCTTGTTTGAAAGAGCAACTTTCCTAGTCATAAGTCATTGTCAGCGACAATTTCATAGAGATGTTCATCGCTTTGAAAAAGTCTCTAATATAATAAAACAATTCAAATTAAGTTGCAGGTAAATTGCACAAGTTGCACAAACAGAAAAGTAACAAATATGACATACGAATGAGATATGATATTCTTTTAATTTTGTAGCAAGTTGGCGGCACAATTCCAAAGTATGGAAGTTAGAAATACCAATTTTGCGGCCTTCATCGATATATTTACTTCAAACACATATGTAATGGTCATCATGTCCGATCCAACTATACGTAAGTATTTGGAAATGTATAGTATTTGTATGTGATATTTATTAAAATGCATGTGTTCTTTCAGCATCAGCAGCAACATTGATCAATATACGCAATGCACGAAAGCATTTTGAAAAGTTGGAACGTGCCAGCCAGAGCTCGGCATTGACTAGATAGAAGTCGGCACGACCCAGGCGCCTCGTCACCCGGGTCCATCCTATTAATAATTGCTGAATCTGCAGAATCGTATCATTAAGATAATAAAACGTGATTGCGAAGATACGATTGTTCATGAGAGATTGAGTCACAAAGTATACTTCAATGTACGGCTTTTAACTTGAGCGTTTATGACAAAATAAGTATATAATCGACATGTCCGAAAGAAGCTGATGGTGATCGCTATATTTCAGGTCATATTAGGACTGTATCGATATGAATTCATCTCTCATATTATGCATGGATGTAACATGATGCATAATGCATCTGCAATTTGTCAATGTAGAATAGTGTACATACGCGCGATTCTTTTGCCTCGTTCTAAATCATTTTTCATTTTTGATTTGAGAATCGTTCGTCATCCAAATAGCGTTGTAATAACATCCAACGAATGTTAATAATAAATAATCATCGCAGCCATATGTCTTTCTTTTATATCCGCATGAGTCACAATGCGATATAACAATATAAGATGAAGTATCCACTTGAAAACGTTCATTCTCAAAAGTGATTCATGACATAAGAATTTCCGATGAAATTAACCGCCTTTGTGTTCAATTATGTACTACTACAATCTATCTGTAACTACTGAGGATTGCTTTTAAATATAATAGAAATTTTCAAGTAGCTATATAGCCTATGTTGCATCAAAATATCGTCCTGTACTTGTAAAATCAATAGTTAATTTCAATTTTGTAGAAGATAGTTATATGTAATATATATGTTTACATCCTTAAATGATACAAGATGTACGATGATACGAAATATAACAAAATTACAATGTATTTTTTAAATGTGCAAATAAATTGTAACCACAAGCAGGTTTACATTTTTTTCTATGTCAAATGTATTTAAAATTATCGAGTTGATGAAAACATTTTCAATAAAACGACAGAAATATTAAAAGTAAAACTAATATATAATTTTTATTACTATTGCGTCCAGAGCGATCAACCATCTGATGTTTTCTCGCTCAACAAACGTTTGACACATTCGCAAAATTAGATATCGTTTTAATCTAATAAACTTTATTACAAAGAAAGAAAAACATAAAATATAAGCAAGATTAACCCTGTGCGCAGTCATTTTATACTACTTTCTCTTGTTGTTTCTTCAATAATTCATTGACAGGGATCTTCACTTTGTTCATAAGAGAACAATGACGAACGAACTTCGATTGTAATGACATAATAGTAAATTCTTATTTAAAATAATCGGACTATTAAAAATATACTTGATATTAAAAACTCATACAAAGTTGTTTTTCTTAGTTTTTGAACTATTTTATTAGCATGTTCAAATTTGAGAAAAAATTGAGTTGATATTGATTCGATATTGGTGATATTCGTCCGTCATAGAATCATAGCTCGGAAGAAAATTAAATTTCCCGCCACTGTGTAGACAAATGGCGGAATTGTGTACTGTCATTGCTCCTTACATTCGGAAAACAAGTTCTTGATAGTTTATTCTGACAGTTATTGTTCGAATATCGCGATGGATAGAATACTCAAAGGAATCATGAAGTATAGAAAGTGTCATCGAGAGGGAATGGTAAAGCAATTTCAACAAGTCAGAGATCATCCTGAGGTACGTTCATATTAAGTTAAAAAAAAATTTCATATGATGATTCTTTTGATATCATATATTTATACTATGCCACGCCGAGTATGAGCCACGTGCTCTTTGTTGACATCATTTTTGGACAAACCATCTGATAAAAATAAATTTATAAATTTATTTATCTAGTACGAATTAATTAATAACGAGACAACAATTCTCTTTAAATATAGTGATCCGATTTATGACCTTGCATCATCGATTGACCAATAATTTAGATTAGAGTACTTGTATCTAATTACGATAGAACATCTACCTTATTAACGGAGTTATACTAGAAAAATATCTGTATTGTACTTTTACCAATAGATTCTTATCGGTAGAGAATCACTCTATTGATAATAGATTAGATTTTGAATAAAGTATTTAGTTTATGGTAGGTATCTTGTTTATTCTTTTGTTTTTCTCTATTTTACCGACTGTGGAATATATCACGAATTATACGAATGTATTTCGTAGTTATATATGTGTGTGTTTGATAATTATTTAAAGCAGAGAGAAGCCTGAGAGAGGCCATCCCGGCCTTTTTCGTGGGACCGTCAAAATCTCCCTCTCTGCTTGTACATTACTGCCAGTACGAGACATTATTAAAAATTATTATTTATAATTCTTTTCTATATCGAAAATTTGTGGACGTAGACATTTGTGGACGGACACGGACTAAAATACAATTTTATCGGCAGTGTCGGAAATGGAGTACTACGTAGTATCATTATCGAAAATGGACGTATATTACTGGCGGTAGTGTGCAGGGGGTTTTGACGGTCCCACGAAAGAGGCCGAGGCGCGGGACGGCCTCTCTCAGACTTCTTTCTGGTAATACTATATAATTATAAAAATTAAAAATATTTATATATTTGTTTATATGATTGTTTATGTATTTCTTACATAATGTGTATTTCTTAAATAATTTGCATGAACTTTTTTCACGTAATATAATTTAATTATTATATAAATTGAATAATCTAATATAGAAAATGTAATTAAGTTTTATAATTGTTGATGCATTTCACCCACATCGTATATTACACTTTTGTTAATACAGCTTGTAATTTGATGTCTGTTGTTGATTTCTATCACAGCCAAAGGCAGTTTTCTTTACTTGCATGGACTCCCGGATGATCCCAACTAGATTTACGGAAACGAACGTTGGAGACATGTTTGTTGGTACGACAATTTAGCATTATTGTAATCGCGCATTACTCCTTTATTGATTCATTTTTAATTCTCCTGATTTCAGCAATATATTTTCTCTCTTTTTTCTTTTTAATACAGCTTCTTATAATCTTATAGAAATTCTCTGACAAATAATGTATAATATTCAAATATCATACATTGCAATTGTCGTACATTTATAATAGCATTTATAATTCTTAAGTTGTACAAAGGCGAACAAACTTTGATTATCTTAATCGATTTCAAATTATATATAATATTTGTACTATCATATTAGTATAAATAGTATTAGTAATTTCTTGTTATATGAGATATACAAGAAAAATTTAGAACTAATTAAAATTAAGAACTAATTAAAGCTTAAGAACTAATTAAATTGTTTTGACAATTCTATCAGATTTTGTTATAAATCTAGATAACAATGTCTAAATTGGGACATAAAATATCTTTTATCTCGATTTTAAATTATGTTGTCTAGAAATCTATTGTCCATTAAGTTAATCGCAACTTAATTAAAATGATTCTATATCGTATCATTATATATGATATATGATATATATGATACGTGGCATATAATATATCTTTCATAGATACAGCATATATGATAAACTCATATTTATCAAAATCTATTTAAAATTGAAGAGAAATCATCAAGATTTTAAATACTCGAATTTAATATTTAAGTCTATAAAAGTATATCATTTTTTATTTTTTATTTTTATTTTTACTGTTTTTTATATTTCAATAAGAAGAATCTAAAAATGCTATTCTCAGTGCAATAATATCTGTATAATGATTTTTATATTTTTCAAAGTATTTGATTCATTGGGTATATCATTGATCGTGAAAACGATCGAAAAGTGAGAAAGCGACTCGCGCGCGCGCGCGCGCGTGTGTGTGTGTGTGTGTGTGTGTGCTACTTAACAGAGCTTATCTTTTCAAAATTATCTTTTCAGTCCGAAACCCCGGTAATGTCGTACCTCATTCGCAGCATTTCGTGGATGAGTTTACCATGTGCGAATCGGCGGCATTGGAGCTCGGCTGCGTGGTAAATGACATAAGGCACGTTATAGTTTGCGGCCATAGCGATTGCAAGGCGATGAATCTGCTCTATGCTTTACGGGATGAGGAATTCGCGTCTCAAGTGCGTTTTCTCTCGTGCTCATATTTTTCTCTACTAAAAAGATTTGCCCGCTGACTTTATTGACTTTTTTTTTCTTCGCTTTCGTTGATTTATTTATTATTATTATTATTATTATTTTCTTTGTTTTCGCAAGCACGCGATAATGCCATTTAAATTTTAGACGAACAGGAGAATGTCGCCGCTGAGAGCGTGGCTATGCGCGCACGCCAGTAGCAGTCTGACAAAGTTTCAACATCTCGAAGTCGCTGGTTTTCGCGAACCGATCATCTTCCAGGCTGAAACGCCGTTGAGAAAATTCGTCGCTTATATCGATCCGGAGGACAAGTTTGCCATCGAAGACAAATTGTCGCAAGTCGGTAATACGATCGAGCGAGGCATCTGGAAGCGCGGAAAGTAGCTACGCAGAATGAATAGTTTTGCTTAAGTATTTAAGAGGATGGCTAGAAAATAATTTTGGCCCTAAAAATTATTATATAAAACATTCTTATTGATTACTAGAGAAAAATACTAAAAATTTTTCTAATATCGTTATGCTTAAGCATCCTACATAATTATTTTGATGTCCCAACAGAATTATTTTTAAATCTGTCTCTAATTAAATCTTTAGATACTTTAGCAAAATCATTTTTTCTGCGCACAGTTTGTTATTTTTTGTTATACCTTAAACGACTTGTGCTTTTATTGCAGATCAACACATTGCAACAACTTCAAAATATCGCATCTTATGGATTCCTGAAAAAGCGTTTAGAGCGACATGATTTACATATCCATGCGCTGTGGTTCGACATTTATACCGGTGATATTTATTATTTTAGCCGAGCCAATAAGAGATTCGTGGAGATAAACGAAACGACGGAGTCGCTTTTGCTTAAAGAAATTAAGAAATATTACTCGTAGTACTTTTTGTACATACGTATGTATTGCGTATATATAATCATTGGTAAGATTGCGCTAGCATTATCAAAAATATTCAAATAGATAGCGAAAAATAATTTTATATTGTTATATGCTGAATTTTAAAAGCGTTTGTGAATTTCGTTTTTATTCGCTTTTAAAAAGTCATTAGTGATAACAAACTGAATTTTTCTTGCAAAAGGCAACGCAATATGTTTTATAGATATTAAGAAACTTCAGAAATTATTTAAATTTAGCAAAAAATATATTTTTTATTGATTTATGTTATGTAATTATATGTTTATTTTCT